GGGGTTTCTATCGGTTTTTGATGAAAACACGATTTAAAATAAACTTTCTGGTTTGGTTCTGTATATATATTATAGATATCCTATAAAATAAATTCCCATTAATTCCCGACACAGATTGAATGTGAAAACACAGATAAGTTTATTTTCAATGTGACAGATTATTAATATACATAGTGAGTATACATCATCCATCAATTTAAAATGCAACATGTCTGTAGAATGTATTATACAACACATTGTAACTTTAATAACAAATAAATCTCTCATTATTGTGTTATTTGAAATCAAGAGATTCAACAGATATCAAGTAAGCAACAAATTGTAAGGGCGTATCTCAATGTCAAGTCCATAGATTATTTATTTTAAAATGACAACCCCAGAGTTGAGATGAAGTCCTGTTAAAATTGTTAACGGAGGTTTCTATGATTGGTTTATTGTTGAGAAGATGGTGGGCCATTGCCACGTGAATGACAAGTGCAACTTTAGAGGGCAGTGTTTATGCTGCAGTAATATACACTTCACAGAATCACCGAGCTCTGTATATGATATCTCACATGCGGAAAAATGTACCTAATGGGGACATATTATCATGACAGAGTTCAAAGGTTCCTCATCAGTAGTTACTGAAATGTACTAGCCTTATTCCCAAGAAATATTCCACTTTGACAATGAAGAATTCCTTTCTGACTGTCGAAATGACGACAAGAGAACGAATTTATATGTCACATCGTAAACTATGTCGCAATCTAAGCGGTAACGTGTCACAATATATGCCACAAATTATGTAGCAGTGCTGTAAACTGGTGATTTTAAAAAAGTGTAACAATCCGGAACACAATTATCATTTGAAAAATAGATTAGTGACACTTTTAAATGTACTCACAAGAGAGTTGCATTGTCTGATGACTGTCAGTTTTAAATAGAGAGATGTTCAAAACATCATAGTCGTTCTTATACATTGCATCAACGAACGACTGTAGATCGCAAAACAGGTACTGTAAAATCATTTAATTTCACCATTTTAATGATTTGAGCAATTTTACTAAGTTTTAATTTTACAAACTTGGCAATGAGTTTTATTGTTATTCTTCATGTTCCCTAGATTTAATTTAGCGAATTTTACTTATCAGCGAAAATAGCGAAATTAAAAAACAATGAATAATTAATGCTTTTACAGTAATGGGCTGTCGGAGGAAATGAGCATGCGTGAACTTTATAGTGGTCGTCTGCCAACATGTTTATGTGTCGTCAAAGTGACTTAAAGGTAAGGTCAGGTAGATAGATAGGGGCAGGTCTCTATTCATCTCACGTTTCCTGTTTACTATAGTACTCAATATGCAATATTTAGGTTTACCTCCGCCAGCAATTTTCAGTAGTCTATATAGAGGATTTTGTTCGGGCTAGGATTATTTGTTCGTCAAGAGGGTGTGGAAGGTTTCTTCTGATCCTGTATTATTATACATATTTTTTTCTTCTTCTGATTACACCTCAACAAACTCGGAATTAATGGTCGACTCTAAATTTATCCTACCTCAGAAACTTTAACTTTGCGCACACAATGTATTTTACACACGTTGCACACGCCACGGAGGGACGACCGATGCGCTTTCTAGCTGTACCTCCGATTACCGTGATGAAAAAAATCGAAGTTGCTGGAGAGTTCAAAATGGTTTCTGAAATGACGTCATTATTATCACCATCAGGATGTCCTGGTTGTTCAGGTTATCGAGGTCGATGGTGACGTAGTTAGTTACTACTAGCGACTACATCTGAAATCATGCATATGTAAAGAAGACTACGCATGTCCGTTCCAAGTAATACAATACCGTGTTCGTTTTCACTACACCTGCGGATATTGAACCCGGTCACGAGGGTAAATCGAGTTGAATTGAATTTAATGGACAGAATATGTTTTTAATTTAGTAGTTAATCGATTCTTGAAAAAAAAAACACTTCTCAACACAACTTTGAAGTCAATATACTTACAACATGCGGAAGATTACAACTTCATTCTAATTTTATAATTTTTTTCTTCCACGTAGTTCTGAGCCAAATGACACCAAATAAACATATGTGATGGAATGATGCAATGTTTCTGTTCTGCCCATCCCTCTTACGTTATTTCCGTGTCCCGGATGTACAACTGCCTGTGAGCTGTGCCCTTTGCTGGCCAGGCGTTTATTTTTGACGTTCTGAGTATTACGTAATCCGGAAATTTTGACTCTCTGTGCTGCTTATTTTAAATATTTCATGTAATTCTATCACAATAATGACCATTTTACTGTATCGTGTTTTCGAAGTCATGCTAAGAAGATGAAAAACTAACTATAAAATATTTTTACATTTAGTTTAGATAAAATAAATAAGAAACTTAAATGTCAACTATTAATTATGTGCACTATGGATGATGTCTATCAAAAACCCAGCTGATTTATTGTTACCAGGCAATAATATAATTTTCATATATATATAAACGCAATATCATGCAGTGAAAATATACATAATAGCAATATCCTTGGGTTCTAATAGGTTGCCATAGCAACAAGAACAGCAGAATTACCCACCCTAACCACAATATTTGCTAGGACGGTACATTTTCCCTCGAAAATATATCCGGTGACTGACGGTATACGGCGGTTTTAATGTTACCTCGTGTTCCTACATGAACGTATGCGTTTTATCATGATAAAGCCTGGAACTGAGAAAGGGGTTGGGAGGCGTGAAAGTCAATTGGTAGTGGTAGATTTACTCTGACAATCTGGAAAAACGTGTACACTTTATACATGATTTATTCGGTGTCATACGTATTTTAAACTTTTCAAAATCAGAATCCGCCTTCTAGTGAGGTAGAGACAGCTGTTCCAAATTCATGGCAAGTTTAGTTGATTGACCACACGTCCAGTACCTTGCAGTCTTATTACTATAACCGTTCTCATACGACCCCTTTCACCAACAGGTGTGAGTTCATGATCTTGTCAGCGGATGAAAAACTTTCGTAATACCATGTAAATCCCTCAGTAAGTTGTTGGGAACTCATTTAGTCCAGTATTTGAAGATTTGTTTTTCGGAGGAAAATTAAGAATTATATCTGATTTTAAGAACGGGCCCGGGGGCAACTTTACAAGAACGTCATTGTCGTATTGTATTATGAGTTAATTGTGGATGAGTAAAACGAAGGTTTAAAGGGGCGCTGAATTTATCACTAGAGCATCGCCAACCTTTCTAGAATTTAGCGTGACAACACGGTTAAGAACCGTAGTAATATGGTATGTGTCTGTACAACTGAACTTTCGAACCTTTCCAGTCAATGACCATATGACCACTCTTCAAAGAAAGATATGGCTCTTGTCTTCCTGTGTATTATATTCCATACAACTCGTTAGGCGTGTTCGGTGTTAATGGCTTCTAGTAACCCGATGATGGCTCAAAACCATAAACAACAACATAACGCCAAGTGGCTTGCCCTTTACAGAGAAGGATATTTATTGACATCTGCGTGAATATTATTCCCCGTTGTACAAAATGCGTTTTGTTTCGCCTCCGATGACATATTTTCCCTGTAAAATAAACGTTCGAATGTGTAATGGTTTCCTATTAGAAAACGCCCGGTATAGCTACCTTGGGAGAATAAGAATAAAGCTCTCTCCCTCATTCACAATTGAAAATTGAAAGTAGTATATTTGCATGTTCAGCTAATTTGGTGATATTCTTTCTTTTACTGGGAACGAACATTTAGTACATAAAGATCAGGGTTGCGCGTTTTAAGAATGCGCGTGTGTGTAGCGGCGGATGTACCCTTATACATCAGCGTTATTACCAGTTTGCCAACAAGTGGGGTTAGTTTTTGGCTGATTTTTAATGATACTCTATATCGATTCTATTTTAACAACTTGATAATGCTACTTGGAAAGATGTCTAGGACGACACCACATAAAACATAAACATTGACTCGGAAACGAAATGTTTATGTTTCACGCAGTACATATGCTATATGGTTTGGCAAACATACGTAAGATGCGAAGTTTGAGGACGTAGCCAATAACAACTTGTAATGTTTCTCCTGCAAATGGCACGAACGCTCACTAAAATTAAACGGACAACTAAATCTATAGAAACTTAAGATAGAAAAACATAGGTTTGAAATGTAATTTTTCGTTTTTCTGAGTCCTTATGGTTGTCAAAATATTTAGGTTTTAATTTTGCATTTTATAATAATCCACGCACGCAGTGAACATTTATATCCGTCAATTTTAATTCTAAGTTAAAATCAAATCTGACTCCATAACTTGATATAAACAATTCCTAATATCACCACATATTGTATTAGCCCATTAATAACAGTTCCAAATATTTCTGACAGAAAAATGGGTTATTTACTGTACCAGTGCCAATATTATCGTCCCGGGTTGACGTGAGCCTGCTAATATACTCGTGCATGGTTGAGCAATCGTTTCGATATTGAACTTAACCCGGACCTGCGGCTCGTTTTTGTTTCGATAGCATAGACATTGGTGGTATTTTTTTTTACTAAGCGCGTTCCCTCGCCTATTTAATTGATCGATAATTATATAGGTGTTTTTGCAAATTACGAGGAGCTCTATCGTATACAGCGTTTTTTTCTCCAGGATCTCGATGTTATTGTGAAGTTGCGGATGTTAAGAATTGCACTCTCTAACAAGTTGGTTTCCAGGATCTTCCGCAAGTGAGCGCTTGTGTACTACGTCATTATGTACTGATTATATCCATAAACAGTTATAGCCAAGTCCAGCAACACAATGCACAGACGGCGTAGTATTGCGTTGTATATACATCTTTTGAGGTAATTTCCCATTAATTTCTTGGAACATCGCGTAAAGACAGTCGTTCCGGGACAGCTTTTTTCAATGACGTACGATCGGAAAATGGGAAACCACAGGCCAACCACAAACCGGACATCAATGTGCTTATAAAGACGAGTGAAAACGTCGAAGTTGTCATAGAACCAGACTGGCCGAGAAAGACAAATACCGTAGACAGAATAATGAACACGAACATGCCAGTACAGCAGCTAGTCTTCGCTATTGGTAAGTATTCGTATAAATTTATTGCTATATGGAGAACGTTACCGATTATCGTAAACTGGATTCTTGTTAGTTTCTACAAAGTATAATAACCCATGTAAAGATAAAACAACTTCACGGAACACGCATACGTTACTAAAATTCCCAAAAGAAGCTCCGTACTTTACGACCATAAGCCCTGTGGATCTTAAGTGAATGTTGTCGATTATCGGTTGACTGAATGATGTTACCAACTTTTGGTAATTCGTGGGGTTGGTGATAAACAGTTTTAATCCAATTTCTCATATTTATAAATAGTAGATTCTCAATGACGCAGATAAACAATAAGCAACTTTAATTTTTTTTTATCCACACTACTCACCATTCTGACATTTGAAGGGTATTGACGGACCGAGGTAATACATATAAATGATTCAGATGTTAATAACACTTTTACTTGAACGGAGTATTACAGTGAAGTACTTTATTTTTACTTTAAAAAAATACTTTTGGGGAAAATACCCTCTTGTCGATATTTTACAATCAATTCATCAAGAATCAGTGAAAAAAAAGTTCATACAAAATGGTCAAAATGCCTTTTCAGTGAAAAAATTAATTCCAGCTACAATAACGTATTTTACAGTATGTGATAATAGTATTAAGTAATAGTATATCATTATCAAGTTGGATATTATATGGTTGACTGTTTTTTTTCCTTCTTCCAGCTTTTTTCTTCTTTGCTTCACAAAGCCGCGCTGTGCCCGCTATAGACTCATCTCCCGGAAACGCGGGCGAGCAATTTCGAATTCTGTCTAGGAAGATTGGTGATCTCATGCCATTGTGTAACGAACATGTTCAACAAAGAATTGTAAGTGTCAAATGTCTTACGTAATATTTAGAGTGATATCATTGCATTCAAAACATTCCCAGTTCTTGGTCTTCTGAGATGAAAATTGTAAACACACGATGATTTTTGCTACCGTTGTACACTGGCTCGATTAGTTTGCCCTCAGACAACTATAGTTGTAGCATGGAAGTAATAATTCTCATTACTTCCATGGTTGTAGTTATTAGTTGTCTGAGGTTTGTCCTGCGCCAGATTATTTGCTTTACAGTTTTGTTCATTGAGATTATTATTATCACCCAAAACCCGCCGATCGAAACGGGTTTTTCGATATTTGCTAATTAATTAATTTTTGTTTCTGTTTTTTCAGAGACGTGCACGTAACATTGATACTGCTAATACGTTAACCTTGGAATGTCTCCCTGACCTTGTACCGCGGTTGCTAAATGAAACAATGCGCCAGGTGAGCAATTTGGGATTCCATTCCAGAAGTCGACCGTTAATGGAAAAAAAATAAAAATGTTGATGTTATTTTTATTGCTGTTCACTGCTTACAAGTTGTCTGACAAGTTGG